TTAACTTATGTATTTATGAACCACAAGATAAATGTTTAGGTAAATTTTATTATTGTATCCCATGTAATAATATTTTAATGATGAACAGATATATGGTGTTAGTATGTTTTTGCTTAAATAGTTGTGTTGTGCACTAACACTGTAGTATATGTGGAGTTTCTTTGCTCTGTGTTCATATCCAAGTGTGTCTAAATTTTCTAAATACCCTGATGTGCAACTATTTTAATTTTTCAAGTTTTTACGAGATGGTTAGTGAGGAAATCCCATCTGGAGACCCTGAAAAGGGAAAGAAAGTATTTGTACAAAAATGTGCCCAGTGTCATACAGTCGAAGGTGGGGGTAAGCACAAAACTGGGCCCAATCTCCATGGGTTAATAGGCCGAAAAACAGGACAAGCTTCGGGCTTTTCGTATACAGATGCTAACAAAAACAAAGGTAATTATAACAGAAGTGTTACATTATTAACCTCTATGACAATTTTATTCTGTCTTTATAGCAGCAAAGAATTTGTTAAATGTAGCAGATGAACAAAGGCACTTGTAATAAACATTCACAAAATTACATATAGCTGGTCAGTTTTTTAAAACACAACTATTCACTGATTAATGTTAGAACATTTTTTTAAGGCCTTCCTGTAACCATGTAAGTGTTCTAGTAACACTAACAGCTGTGAGTATATTTACATGAGGAAACTAACTTATGTTTTATAATAACTAATTAAATGAGGTTTCAGAATTAGATTTATTAACAAATGCTCATTACATTATGTTGTATGCATACAAGTAGAATAAAATACTAATTCTGTCAAAAACTCATTTTGTCTTCCATTTTTGATGATTAACCACACATACCTCTTCCACAACAATCAGTATAATATGCTGTAACCATAGATACTGTAAAATTTAAAAGTTGTGAAGTTATAAGGCTATAGTAACTTCAATTTTTCGTATTTTATTTTTTTACGTGTTTTTTACATGCTTCTCTATAACTGTTACAGGGATAACTTGGAGTAAAGATACATTATGGGTTTACTTGGAAAACCCCAAGAAGTACATTCCTGGAACAAAAATGATTTTTGCTGGTCTTAAGAAGAAGCAGGAAAGAGCAGATCTTATAGCCTACTTGGAACAAGCTACTAAATAATATTAAAACATCATAGGATTTAGTGAAAAATTAGTGTCTTAAGACACTACTCTTATAGTTTATTTGCCAAGAAGGTTTTTCTTCATGAATAAGAACTGTTGTATTTGTTTTCAGAAGTCAAAATAGTAATTTTTAGAATAAGAAATAGCTCATTTCATCTCTTAACATAGACATTCTTATCAAAACAGTTCATGTAATAATGATAGTTTTAATCGGATTATTATGTATGATAATTGTTTGAATGTGTATTAAAACTGTCATTTAGAAAGTGGTATAACAAATGTGGAAATAAATTATGTATTCAAGTTATACAACAAAATATTTGGGTTCATGCTTCCTTAGTTTGCATATAAAGTGTATTCATGTTGTGTTGCAACATGACCTATCAATTACCACATTAAGTGCATCTGTATTGTATGGTTATTTTTTAAGGAACAAAACAAAAAGACGTATGCATATTGCTAAGCTATTATGTACTATAAATCTAAGTAGAAAAACACCTTAAGTCTTGTTACATTTTCTTGATATCTAATTAAATATGTTGTGTTCTGTAATGCTAAATTATAATTTTTTATATTTGTGGTATAGTAAAATCGTACTGACAATATTTTAAGCATTTCTACCATTTAATATAATGGATGAAATAACATTTCAATTGTTTTTGTAGTGTTATTTCTAACCCCAAACCTGCCAAAAGTCAAATATTAGCATATTTTAGTAAGCTTGTTGAAACCAATGTTTAGTTTGTTTGAGAAGATAATCTAAAAATATATTAACAGTTATTATGACCTTAAGTGGAGAAATGTGCTTTATGTTTTATTACAGTGTAAAGTAACTGTCAACAGGGAATAATGGAGTTTCTCTCAATTAACTGTGAAAAGATTTGAGAATTAGCTTTTAATAAAGATAAACTCCTGTAATGCTTTTGCATTACACAAACACTGAATCATGGAACATAAATGTATGATGTTTGCCTAAGCTATTTCATCATCACGGTTTGTTTGGCTACCATATTTTATATCTTAAAATATTTCACTGAAATGTTTTCAATTATACCCTGCTGTTAGCAATCTTAGAATTTTACCGTCTAAAGTCTGCACCTAAACTGTTTTACTTACTTCTTATAACCTTGTGTCACAATAAAATCTACACACACACGTAGTTGGTATTGCGGATCTGGTCACAGTTTGAGTTTTATTCTGTTACTGAGGTGTATTTTCCCGATATATGGTTATTTTTGTTGTGATGTCAGAACAAGTATTAAAATAGTTACTTTGCTATAACTTACGACACAAACATTTAAAACTGATTTATGTATACGTATTGAACATATTTTTTTTTTA